ACACTGAAAGACAAATTCGTCTTCCTCGGAAAATTCATTCTCCTCGGAAGCGATGCAAAGCTGGCAAATAAATAACTAAAAGGCCACCATCTGAGCTCCAACAGAGACCTTCCCCTTATTTTGGGGTGACCCCCCTCCCCAGAAATAGTTGTGAAAAGCAATACGTTCATTCTCTCAGGACCAGCGTTTGCGGGATCGGAATTAAAAGGGCATCTTTGATTATTTTATTGATCGCAAACACAAAGAGCTCGTGTGGCTTCTTAATGTTTCCATGTATTAATCATTGATGAATGACAACGGAGGGGGATGATCAGGGGCCCTCGGCGTGGTCACAAAGCGGGCAAAGGAAACGGGTGGGTGGGGTAGTTGGCCGCCGAAGGCCGGGGGCCAAAGGGAATCAGACGCAGGTCTTTCAACTTTTTGCGGGCCCCTTCCCTGATTTTCCAGCCTGAAATCCCATCCAAACTGCCTTGCTGCTCAGTTGGGATGGGACCAGATGAGAGATCTTTAGAAGATCTTTAGGCCACCAGGAACAGGACAGGACACTGTCAATGGGCTGGTCATTGCTTGCAAGAGAGCTCAGACAAGCTCCAGGAGCAGAAAGAAGAAGTTAATAATTTTAGGGCTTGGGGTAATTAAGGGGCAAATCAGTTCTGGGAGCCATGCAGAGAGGTAAGCACCCCGAAGCATTTAACCACCCTTCCAAAATAAGTCAATTGGCTGATTTTTCCCATTGTGTGGTGGTGTGAAAGGCAACATTTGCCTCTTAAATTTCCACAAATGGAAACAACTCTGCCCACTGACGGAGCTTCCTGCGTCACTGGCTCTGTTTTTATGCTTTGTACCCCCATAACTGGTAAAAAGGGGCAGGGGCACCCCCAGGCCAACAATCTAACCCTGGCTTCAAGGGAGCAGACAATTGACTGACCGGGGAAGAGAGCGACAGATTTTCTTGTAAGCTCCCCATGCTTATTTCCTGACAGTGTTCTGCAAGATATTAGCGATAAATTATAGCTTTTATTCAAGCTCAGATTTTTTTTAAACCTTGCTATTTTTACAACTTCTAGGACAGTGTTACATTTGCCAAAGCAGCTGCGCGTCTCAGAGATTCAGAATTTAGGCCAAATGATGGTTATAAACATGTACTCTCTCAATCGGTGGACGATGGTTTTCAGTTTTTCTAGGAAGGCTTCGCTTGCTGTGTTAATGACAATTTGCTGCCTATGGACTGACTTTGCATCACATCTCAGTGTGTTCACACAACAGCCTTAACTGAGTCAGTTAACCAGTTAATTCACCCAGCGTGCAGAACTTGGGTAGTATTTATATTCACCTCTATTGGTAGTGTCTATAGCTTAGCGTCTAGCGGGAAACCAATGTGTTGGGTTAGCTCACGCTTCAGTAACTAAGTCAAGTGTGTTGTACAAGAGAATTGTCTCCTTATGTACAGGAGGTTTGAACAGACTGCAAATGAAAGCAGACACGGTTTGCGATGGGTTCGAAATGTCAGTTCCTGAGAGAATCAATTCGAGAGAACTGTAGACCAGAATGAAACTGGTGTAGCTGGTGGCAATCCTCAGCAAACCATACCAACCCTAGAAGCATTTTCAACCCTTGTCTTCTCCAGGCGCAGGATGGAAAGATTCATCTTTTAAATCTTTGACGACCCTTGCTAGTTCATCGCCAATGAAAGCTGCCGAGATTGTAAAAGGCTGAAAAATAGTTCTTATCATCGGGAGCTAAATGATGGCCCACATCCTCCATGACGTTTGCCTGAATCATTTTTTGAGTAGCCTCACTGCCTCCCCTTCCTGGTCTGTCCAACCTTGCTCCTGATAGATTCTGGTGATAGGTTTCTTGTGCATAAGATTGAGGTTGGGCGGGGAACAACACGGATAAAGAAACTTTCTGGCATACAAAAAATCCAAGATTGAAACCATCTTTGGGCAGAGTTGGGAAAGAGTCTTATTTGAACATCTGGAGAGCTTCCTCTGAAGAGCATGGACGTCATATGTGACTTGTAGAAGGGAACTTCCCAGGTTCTTTTCCACCAGCGATCAGAAATCTGTTGACCCTCTAGGTTGATTGACTGAATTTGTACACCGCCCGACTCCCAGTGACTCTGTAGATGTTGCTTATCTACAGCTTTCAGCATCTGTCAACTTTTGGCCATAATAGTTGATGCTCCTGACGTTTCTTCACCATTTTGGAGGTTCAGAGCCTCCATCCTGATGGGAGATAGTCTGTTTCACTACCTTTTGGATTTCTGGTGTTGATTTGGGCTGATTCTTTTCTGTCAATTCTGTTCTCGGAAAGCAACCATTAGCTAGGTCCATTAAATATTTAATTGCCTCTGAAGACATCTTAATTGCAATTAGCAATTCGCTGGAGAGCCATTTGCAAGAGAATTGGGAACTATAAAGCAGGATTGGTTGGGGGGAGAGAAGGCGCATCGTTAGGAACCAAATCTTTGCAGGGTGATGAGGCAGGAAGGAATCGCACTTCTGATAGAGCTGGGGACTTAAAATCTAAGTTTCTTATCCCTGGCTTGTGTAAGTTTTAGCAAGCCAAAATCTTGTCAGCTGAGTAGCAGAAACCTATTATCTGCTTATGCAGCAAGTTGTACATTTTTAATCCTGTTGAATGTATGTGTACTTTTTCTTCTGTTAATTAGTTGAACATACCAAAATTAATTTTAAGCAATAAGCTGGTTACTAATGAAACTAGTTTGGGGATCTCTTGATACACTGAATCATAAGCTAAACAGATTGGCTGGGTTTCAAAAACAACACGGTAACTAGCAAAAAACAAACCCCATTGAAGCTAACTAACCATAACATGTTGTGGGATCTTTATCTGAACCATGCAAATTCAGCCTATTTCTGAATGTCAGGAAAACCAAACCGAAATTGGATTAGAAATTGGGTATTCAGCATCTTTCCCCAAAACATCCAGGGGCCTAGACCAGATGCTGGCTGGGGAATTCTGGGAATTGAAGTCCACACATCTTAAAGTTGCCGAGGTTGAGAAACACTGGCTTGGACGGTATCCAATTCCATAGATACTCCTTCTCTGTTACTGTTGTGTTGAAATCTCTCTTGCAAATCCTCAAAAGACTTTTGTCCCCCCCTTACAAAAGAAGCTTTTAATTTTTGACCTTGGCCTCAAGAATACCTTATCAGGCACTTTGGCAAAATTAATTATTTCAAGCAAGCTACTCACAGAGTCTTCTTTAACTAGATTTATGGAGATGAAAGTGAGATGATTGTAAGAATTCCAGCCACTGAATTATTGTCAGTTTAGACCAAATGATCCCCCCCTGTGCATCGGACAGAGTGTCTTTATTTCTTTTGAACAGTTTTTCTGGGATTCAGCGAGGAGGCAGGTCGTCTCGCTGATAACAAAGAAGCTTGCAGGTGGCTGTTTATGACACCATCTCCATTGCCATCTTTCAATTTTTCTTTGAGTGTTTTGGAGCTGATTTTATTACTGGAAGTGATAGAGGAGGGTGCTGTTATATGATACCTCTTCCTTCTTGGTAGTCCCAAAGGACCCTTAGCGTTTGTTTGATTGTTGTGAACCATCCAGATTTGAGAGTCGGGCGGCATACAAATATAATAAATTATTATCCTTATTCATTGGAAGTGTAAGAAGGTGAAGATGTTTGGACTATTGGAGCGAGAATTGAAAAACGGAGGACCCTGCAGCAAAATTATTGTATGCCACAAGTTGGAAAAGCAATGAAATACCGAGACTGGATTATAAAATTAACTGAACTTGCAGAAATGGCAAAGCTGGCCCGTTTGGTCAGAGAAAAAGCAACAACGTTTGGGGTTTTTTTTTTTTTTTTGGAAAGACTGGAAATCTTATCTGGACTTTTTGTTAACAGAAGAAAAGATTGAATTGATGATTTCAGGATTTGGGGATTAAAAAGGGGATGAAGAGTTGGGGGAAAGTTTAAGATGATAATTACTCAGCAGAAAGAAGAGCGGAAGGCATAATTTATGTTTATTCTTTTTTAAAGAAAATTCTTTCCTGTTTCTCTATTATTTTCTATTTTTGTTCTTATTTGTTTTGTATATTTTACTTTCATGGCTACCTTACCATTTAATGAAAGCCAGAACATCATTCCTCCCTCCTCTCTGCCCCCGACCACCATGAGAACAAGACCAAAATAGTCTATTCCTTTGAAAAAAAAACTCTGGAAGCAAATTCTCTTTTATTGCACTCAATCAGAACAGCAGGGAAACAAATGCTGCAGAATTTTCGGCCTCAGCCCAAAGAGGGGATCACTAAAATAAGCAAGGCAGACGTTGGTTTAAGAAACTGATGAGTCAGGAATTTATTTTTATGCTTCGGCTTTGTGAATAGGAGATTCACCTTTTCTTTCGGTCTGGAAAAGCAACTGGAGAAGAACCCACAGGACTTTTTTTTAAAAAAAAAAATAAGCTTCTTGGGAAGGTGAAAATGAAGAGCAGAAAATCTGGCCTGATTTTCTCATTGAACTAGGAACTTTCAAGTCGGAATATACTTCAGTACAAACAGTGCAACTTCAAACCTGCACGTAGACATCTAGCACGTCAGGGAGCAAAGCTGGCTAAATCCTTCATCCTGACATTCTCTGTCCCGTTTTTTTGTTCCTTCATATGATGCAAGAAGCAGAACTTCTGATCTGAAGTTGGAATGGGTTACCCTGTTTTGTTTTTCTCACGCCGGGCCTTTTTAATGTTTAACCAGAAAAGTTGGAACTTTTAAGCACTGAACCCATTAGAGCAAAGCAGAGGCGAAAATTGAATATCATTTAAAATGGATCTGGAACGACAGGGCGGTAATGTTCTTAGCATGCTGCTTCCAAATTATGCATTTCCAAGTTTTCTTCTGGTTTGGAGAAATGCGCAAAGCGTGTTTTGCCATCGCTCCAAAGCTGTTTGGAGCAGAATCGATCTGGGGCTAAACGTTTCAGTTCGCAGGCTGTTAATGTTTGAATATTGTCACTGGATTCAGGCGCTCCCAGAATGCCAGAAGGACGTGTGTGTGCGTGTGAGTAGGTGTTTAGTGTGTTACATTTGTGAAATTCAGATGGAAGCATGCACATTTCGAATCCTGCAAAAGTCATGCCTGGCGTTGGCATCATAATTAGCTGCTCCTTTCTGAGTTTTGCAGCAAAATCTTGGTAAGCATTCAATTTAGAGGGTTTTTTTATGCATAGCTGCAGGAGAGAGCCAAACTTTTTCTAGGGGCAAAGTCCTGCTCGGAGTGCGATAGCCGTAAAGTTATTTCACTGAAGTGAAATAAGATCCGGACTGGCTAAGTTTTGATGTTCAAGCTAAAATAAGGTATGTCTTTTAAATAGCCCTCCTCCCTCCAAACCTGCCCCCCCAACACTGAGATTGCTCAGTTTTTCAGCGCTTGACTGCTGAAATTTGATTCAAAAATTGGCTTGGGGGTTGGACGTCGTTGGCTGGCACTGCCCACCCCTAGCCCAAGCTGGTTTAGAATAAGATTGCATGGCGATGAGAGCTTTTAGAGCGTCGTGAACCGGCCTTTCTAAAACAGAACCAGAATGCTGTAAAGTCTCTTTTTCTTTCCTCCTCTCTTTTTAAAGAAAAGACATCCATTTCCTTTCTTCTAGCGGCCTGCAATCAATTCCTTAATTCAATTCAGGTCCTCCGAGCGATCGGCATCAAAGAGCTACAGCAATCTGCAAAATCACTCCAGGTCAATTCAGATGTCTGGAACACCCTGCAGTAGCTTCGGATTTCTGTTTTCCAGCAAAACGGGGCCGCTGCGGCGTGACACCGTTTGCTGCAGAGAATTGCCCTGCGTCTCGATCCGTCACTTGGGAATGCGAGGTTTGGCCTTCTGCCCTCGGCCGTGCCCGCCTCCAAAGCCGTCCCGTGAAGGCAGCCAGGCTCCCCTCTTCCTCCTTTGCAAGAGCCAAGTTGTGAATCCCCATTGACTTATTTTACATTAATTAAAATTCCCTGCGGAGGTATGAAAGGGGGTACAGTACAATCATCTTATATGTGTTGCTCAGAAGATGCGTAGAGAGTTGGCAGGGGAGCCCCACTGCCGAGGTGGGAAAGCAAAAGAAAAAAAAATGAGGATTGTTGTGGGGGAAAAACCCACTGAAGCAAAGAATCGAAGCATTTGGGGATTGATGTAGACAAGTATCTTTTACGGGCCTGCACAGCTACTGTATGCATTGAGCTCTTCGCTAGAAGGAGGCAGGAGAGCCCAAATCCCACAAGGTTACAGCTTATAAACCCTCTGAGATGCAACCTAAGCATTACAAAGGCAATGTAAATTATACATTTTGGGCCTTCGAGTCAGTTTTTGACTCCTGGCACCTGCCTGGATGAGGCCCTGCAGTTTTCTTGGCAAGATGTCAGAAGCGGTTTGCCATTGCTTGTTCCCTAGGGCTGAGAGAGAGGGGCTGGCCCAAGCTCACCCAGCTGGCTTTGTGCCTCAGGCAGGACTAGAACTCACCGTCTCCTGGCTTCTAACCTGGCACTCTTCACCACTACAGCAAACTGGCTCTCTGTGTAAATGTAATATCCATTTGCAATGTAAATTATAGCATGACCGTTACAGCCGGCATGTAGCATCCGATAAGAACATGGGGTGACCTTCCTAGGGGCTGATCCTGCACCTCTAAATTCTGCTTTTCTAAGGAGGCACCAAGCCTGCTTTTCTCTACTGATGCAAGTACCTTCTAACATAAACCATGTCCTTTATTGTGCCCATATATTGCCTCCTTTCAAATCAAGGAAGAGTAAGAACAAGCTGGATTTTTATGAGATGTCTCCCCTTTCTCCGGGAGCAGCAAGCAGTTTCAGGTTACCTGTGCTGAACAGCAATTGTGTATATAAGGCTAGAATATTATCTGTCCCCCGCAGGACGCATTTGCAGATTTAGAAGGAAAGTGGGCTCAGGAATGACGAGGAGGAGGCACGAACCATGCGCAAATCACAGTTTGCCAATTGGAGTTTGTTTGCATAAAATGCATATTCGTTCCTTAGTGTTTATCCAGATGGGCAGGTTTTCTTTCACTTCACTTCTAACCACCTTGATACGACACCTTGGTTTGCACTAACCTGAGATGAAAACTTGCCAGTTAGGGTGAGAAGGTGATTTGGGGGTGGAGAAGGAAAATGGCCAAACTCAGAAGCATTCTGCATTTTGGAGCTGTGTATGTTTCCAAACCATTTGGCTGACCAATGTTGGAAAGAGGCATAGGGACTTTTGCTTTGATCCAGTAAGAGTTGGGAGACTTTCCAGATTTTGGACGGTTGTAGCTGTGATAATTAAACTTCCATGTCTAGAGGCAGTCTACCATTGATTTCTGGGCATCGAGATCAAACCACATGTATAATTTACTAGGTGGTTTAAATATTGAGGGATATGTCTATCAACGGTAGGAACTGGCAGTGTTTTCAGGCATCATTGTACAACGGTGTGTGATATCAGGGCTTCAGGCAAAATTCAGATGAGGTTTGAAAATAAAAAAATAAGCAGCTTATAAACATTAAAAGCTCTAAACGTTGGGGAGAGAACGCAGGGATCTTTGCAAGATTTGGCTAACACATGAGATTTCAGCCAGTCCCAAATCTGCATCTATTGGCTGTCGATGAATGGAACCTCCATGATTAGACATAGTGTATCTCTAAATACCAGGGACCAACAAGTTTATGCTCTCTTTCCTAAATGTTTCGAGCTTTTAGAGAGTGCAAACACAGCATGTGGCCTCTTTTTTAGGTAATTAATCTTTCTGTGAGCTTAAATGCATCCTTTTATGATCCCAGCTTGGAACTTATATCCAAGGGACATTCAAGTCATTAGGCTAATAAAAACAAAATCCTCCTTCTTTGAAGGTGCTCTCTCTCTCCCCACCCTTTCACTTGGGAAAAAAGGGGCTTTTGAAAATGATTATATCATTTCACTGCTCTTTCTGGAAGGGGAAAAGGTTCATAAAAAGTTGCTTTCTGACTCAGCGGGTGTTCTGATCTCAGCAATCTGTACTGTGTTACTCATGCAGTTTATAACTAAAACTGGGCAGAGACCGTTTTTGCACTCCCCGCCCTGCCACAAGCAGTTCCCATTCTTTGAAATAAAGATAGATTTTGGCTGGAAACATCTTCCCATAAGAAGACAATTTTGGTAGAAAAACTCCAGGGTGGAGTGGGGTGGACTCAGATTAATGTTGGAATGTGAAAACAGCACATAGTACAGATAGTCCTCCCTTAACGACCACAATTGGGACTGTAATTTAGGTCACTAAGCAATGTCATTAAGCAAATCATCACGTGACCGAACCTGATTTTACAACCTTTTTGTGGCAGTTGTTAAGTGAATCATGTGGACGTTAAGTGAATCACATGGTTCCCCATTGATCTTGCTTGCTGGAAGCCAGCTGGGAAGGTCACAGATGGTGATCATGTGACTCCAAGACTCTGCAATTGTCATAAGGGTAAGCTGGTTATGAAGTGCCTGGACCGTGGGGGCGCTGCAATGGTCATAACTTCAGGCACTGCTTGTAAGTCACTTTTTTTAGTGCCTTTGTACTTTGAACGGTCGCTAAATGAATGGTCATTAAGTGAGGATTACCTGTAAGTTAGTTACTGCTGATTTGATATATTTCAGATGTATTGATAATAATTTCATCCTTCCCAGCCAGTACATTTCCAATATTTTTTAATTATTTTTTTAAATTTCCAAGATATTTCCTTCTCCCCAACTTTAACACTATAGATATCCTGCCTGGGTTGCAAAAGGTTTAATATTCACTATTTAAGTTTACTAATGGAGGAATTGATAGCAACAAAGGTGTAAGATTTTTCTTATCGCAAATGATTGTTTGCTAATTGCCTGAGCGAATTAGTGATCCAGTGAAGAACAATTAAGTGTGAATAAGATAAGAGTCAAGGCATTCAGCAATGAAAACTTAATTGATGTACATGCACGTATGAAGCGGTCTGTAAATCCTCTTTTTCTTTCTCCTTTTGCCTTTTCCAGTCACAGAGAAGGAAGTCCAGCAATGGTGAGTTTTCAGCGTTATTTCAGATTCTCAAAAGTCTGTTGAACGTTTGTACGTATTCGAACAAAAGAAGGGGAAAAAAGCTTGGGGTTCACAGGCACTAAAGTGTTGCACAGCATTTGTGTAATTTTGTGGTCAGATCCCATGGAAGTCTGCTTCCTTAGGGCATGTGGATTTCAGAGGGACTCTGTCTTGAGAAAGGCGAGACGGTACTTCAAGCCCAGCAGGAAGCCCATTTACTTTGGAAGGATGATGTATGGGTTGTGCAGAGGAATTAAATCACAAAAATTCTAGAAATTGGATTATTTGAAAAGGTGAAGCAATGGGGATGGGGGTGGGGTGGGGTTAAAAATATGGCTTATCCAAATCATTGGCTGCATTAATAAAATGAGCTAATTTAGATTAACTTTAACCTTAGAAATTCACACATTCCTCTGCTTTTGTCCCAAGTTTGGCTCATCAGAATTCCTAAATGGAAATCTGCCAGAGTTGCTTCTCCCAAAATTGGATGAACTGAGTCCTGAGGCCAGAGAGGCGAGTTTGCTAACACAAGGGTGCACTACTGGCAGAGTTCACACAACAGTATATGGGGGTCACTTAAAGCCCAAGCAGATGCTTTGGCACAACATGTTAAGATTGGTTTATTTTATTCTGGTTTAGCTTTGTTCTTCAGAAAATCCAGGGTGCTTTAGGTTAAATGATGGTTCAAGGTCTTCTGCAAAGCAGAATTGGGTGAATTTGGAACCCAGGTTATGTGCTGTGTGAATATAGCCAATGTGAGTTGGAGATAGGTTAATGTTCCCACGAAAACTGGAGGAACAGCCTTACTTTCCAGCCTAAAATAAATATTCACTCCCCAAGAGAACACCAATATTTATTCTGAGTATTTATTCCCTCAAAGCATCATGTGCATTTGGAATTAGTTGCCCTGAGTACCTCCTTTGTCAATGGATACTTTGAAGTTTACTATAGCCTTTATGGTAACCACATTGTGCAAACTGGGACTTGAATTGGTGGTGGTGGGGAAGTTGCTTTGTTTGACCATCATGTGTTATCTGAATGTAGTCATTGTGGCTTGTTACACCAGGTTTAGGTTTTACAATGTTGTTCAAATGCAGCTACTTTTAACATCTTTCTTAGCTCAGTGAATGTCCGTGGAAAGCTACATGTCCCAATCTTAGCCGATGTAATGGGATGTGGGGATGACCTTGAGAGACAGAAGGAAATGATGCAGCCTAGTCAATGGTCAGATAAGAGGCAGCTTAGCCCACAGAAGAAAAAAGGGCATGGGAAGCGTCTCAGAAGGAACCCTCCCTAGTTTCTTGGACTGTAAAGGAGAGGGGGAAGAGAACTACTATCAGACTTTCAAGATTCTGTTAATGTAACCTTACAATAAAGATAGAGCTTATGCTCCTGGGTGTGCTTCTTGTCAGGACTAACCTGTTTCATAACGTGTCAGACAGAGTTGTAAAAACTACTGATCTGAAGCATATCAAGGACTCTCCACTCTCAAAATGCTCTACGATAGGGTTATCACTGCTTTGTGGGGGGCACTTTGATAGCTTGGACTCATCCTGCTCTTCAAACAGAGGCCATGCAACCTTTTTCAGCAAAGACCTGCTTTTGGCCTGCTGGAGACTTGGAGCAAGTAGCTGGCACGATATTTAATCTTGGATAAGCTCCAACATTGCAACAGCATGAATAAATGCCCCTAGTTTGGTGAGTAGTCAGTTCAATTCATCATCAACCGAAGGTCCTACTTCCAAGTGACTTTATTTAATTAGTGAAATGCAGTTGTCCTAAAATGGGAGGAGAGGTAGACTCAAAACATGAGGTGCTTGCTTTTCTGGGCACTTAGCTGCAAAGTGGCCAGCTTGTCACAGTAGAAATATAGGTCTAGTTTTCTGTGATAAGCTCCCCCCACCCTTGGAAAGTCCTGCGTCTTTTGCTCAGAATTGTCAGGACCATGGACAGCTCCTCAAGACCATTCATTCTGCTGAGGCTAGACCAGCCTTCCGTAACCTGGACCTCTCCAAATGGGGTGGGCCTGCAGCTCCCAGAATTCCCTACCATGGTGGCTGAACACCTCTAGCTGAGAATTCTGGGAGCAGTTGTGATCCGTAAGGCACCGAGTTGGGGGAAGTTGATATATTGCCCAGTAAATCAAAGCAATGCCAGAACTTGTCAGGTTTTGCGTTGCACCCAACCAACCTACTTAAAAGAAAAGGAATCTAAATCAGCCCATGAAAAATGTGGGAGAAGAAGCTGGTGGGCCCCAGGGAGGCACGTGTGAGACCAGGTTGGCTACTTTTTGCTCTCTGTTATAATAGGTATCTTCAAAACTTTCAGCAGCCCTCCCTGTCCTTCCACAAATTCTAGCTTCATCTCATGTCTAAATCTGGCCGTTGCAATTTGCAGACCAGGGTTGTTGGCTTAATAATGTATCCAGACCCAGCCAGGTGTGGCATTCAACAAACCATCATTAAAACAATCTACAATTTAGCAGAAGGTGTGTGAAGCAGCCCTGTGCCAAACCATTATAGCAGATAATGTGTTCAAAGAAGAGAAGGACTGGAAGAGGTCTCAGAAAGGACAGTCTCCATGTATATGTATTTTTTTCTCTTTTTGCCATGCTAAAAATTACAGTCTGGAAGCAATTTTGAAGCTGTGATTAACTCCTTTAAGGCCAATAGGTTTTGTTCCCCTACTGTAGAGAATTGCAAATGTCAATCTTGTCTATTTCTTGTAGAAGCAACATTTGAGCTGAGGACTTTAACTGTGCTGATGCAGGCTTTTTCCCCTAAAGCAGTGTTTCTCAACCTTGGCCACTTTAAGAAGTGTGGACTTCAACTCCCAGAATTCCCCAGCCAGCATGGCTGGCTGGGGAATTCTGGGAGTTGAAGTGCATACATCTTAAAAGTGGTCAAGGTTGAGAAACACTGCCCTAAAGGTCACAGAAAAGCTGAGATTTTATTAAAAAAAATTGCTCCAGTTGCTTTCTTTGGGACATAGGGAGAATCAACCCCCCATCCCAGAAACTCAGTTTATTTTTCTCATCTTAGGTACAAAGGCTTTATCAAGGACTGCCCCAGTGGACAGTTAGATGCAGCCGGATTTCAGAAAATCTACAAGCAATTTTTCCCTTTCGGCGACCCAACCAAGTTTGCAACATTTGTCTTCAATGTCTTTGACGAAAACAAAGTGAGCTCACTTTCTTTTCCTCCCCTCTCCTTCTTCCCTTTCTAAGGGAAGCGTGGATGGCCAAACGTTGTCCGACTGGGAAGGGACCCAGTGCCTTAAAAAAGCTCTCCAGGGCACGTAGGATCCATGAATATCCCCAGGGGATCTCAACGCCTTCAACTTGCATTTTATTTTACCCATCTTCGGATGGGAGGGGGTCTTAGAGGCCATGCAGTCCAACCCTTGATCCACTCCAAAATGTGAATGTCTTCACTTTGCTGTCTAAACGGTTTCCCCCCTTATTCAGAGAGGGGATATTTCTGGTGCGTAGCTCAGCCCCAGCCCAGAAGGGTCACCGGTCCCAGCCAGTCCTAAGTGATGTTCACCTTGCCGTTCTTTAATTTAAGGCTTGTTAAGTTAAAGTGGGAGAAGGCAAGGAGGGAGAAAGAAAGGAGGCATTTCACACCAGTTTCCTCTGGTCCTGTAAAAACTTCCTGAACAATCTACAGTGAAAATCACACGCTGAGTTTTGGTTTTGTTTTGCTGACCAGATTAAACTTTTTCACCTGGCAAGCTGCGCTCATCTAAATATTAATCTACTTTTTTTTTTTAATCACTTTTCCCTTTTTCTTTGGCCAATTCATACCCCCTTTTCGCTTTCAAAATGCATGCCAGTGAATCTGATCTCTCTCTGGCCCAACCTGTATTTGCCGTGAACTGTATTTTCACAGAAATGGGACCGGGGGAAAGGGTGTGTGTGTGAACGAATATAAACAGCTAGACTCTTTCTATTTATTTTCTCTCCTTTTTTCCCCCATCCCTGCCCAAGATCTTTAAATTTGGGGAGATGTGTGTGGGAATGGAATTTTTTGCACACACTAACACGTCTCTCCTCCTACAATCTCCGTGTTTTGTTCTCCCTGCACTTAAACAGCCAGGGCAAAAAATTATCTTCATTTTTAACCCTCCTCTTTTTTAGAAGCTCACAGTTCCCTACATATGGGAAGTCTCTCCTTTCAATTCCCTTCCACTTCTATGTTGCTGCAACTGAACCAACTCCTCGCTGTTTACATCAGTAAAAAGGCATTACTTTTAAAAACTGGTACCCTGTTTATTGGCATTAAGGTTCTGGTCGTCAATAATAACTGCCGTGTATTTTTAAAGCAGTTTTAAAGTGGCAAAGCTGTAGGTTGCTCAAGCTAAGCGACCGCGGGAGACGTTTGAAACGGCCCCGTTTTCAGCTGCAGAAAGGAATGAGAGCTTCTGAACTATGAGAAATGAAGGGATGGCTCCATATTGGATTCAGAACCACTGATTTGGGGGAAGTTAGTGCAGATAATGAGATTTGCTCATACCACCCTGTAATACCTCTTGGAGGACGGATGAGAATAAGTGGGAACTGGAAACCACTTAGGGGCTTTTTGCATAAAAATGACCTTGTGATGTATGGCTTTGACAATGAGACAGGATAGATTATAGAAAGAAGAGAGTCATGCTGTAACTTTAGAGAGAGAGATTAAAATAGAATTGTCCTTATAACTGCTGTGAAGAAGATGGGGAACTTTTTCTTTATGTCTTTATCTATTTTTCTCTCTTCTTATTGTACTTTTAGCTTTCTCTGCTATTTTTCCCTTTCCCTTTTCTCTGTCCTAATTTAGTTTGTATTCATTCTTATATGGCTTTTAAAACTTTTAATAAGAATTATGTTTAAAAAAAAGGATGGATAAGAATAGAGAGCGTGGCGTGGTGTAATTGGGCTTCAAATGGCTTCTTCTAAGTGGATCTGAGTCTCATCCGTTTCGTTTGCTCTTCTCAGGACGGAAGAATCGAGTTTTCTGAATTTATCCAGGCTCTTTCAGTTACCTCCCGAGGAACTCTGGATGAGAAACTGCGGTGTAAGCAATCAAATGCCTTAAGTTGAACCTTCTACATTAAGAGTTTCCCCCCACCAATCGTGTAACAAAAGAGTCATCTTGGTAGAACGACAGTGCTCAACTTTCTGAAACCGAGAGCTAGATTTGCCTGGGAGAGATTGACTTGATGGGTGTGTCCTCCAAACGAGGGGGGCCTGGACAAAGAAGGAGGTGGTGTTAGAGGAAACCCCAAAGTTGTCTTCATTTCATTTACAGTTTATACAGCAATCGAATTTAAAAAGTTGTAAGAATCAGTTCCGGGAATGATCAAAGTTCTGGAGGCCATAATGTAAAAAGTCAGCTGGAATCCTCCCTGTTGTCGGTGAAGAGACCTGTCTCCTTGCTGATCGTAGAAAGGCTGTTAGGAAGAAATCAGAAAGTTTCCACCCTAAACTCCAAGGGGACATATTGGTTCAAAAGGGGAAGTAGTTGCCAGAATTCTTGTAGCTCCCTCCCTTTCATCTCAATAAATCTTGCTAAAGAGAACTTGGAAAAGTATCACTTTCAGGGTTAGGCAGCTGTTAAAGACCCAGATGTTGGTGAGGCCAGTGAAGGGTATGGTGTTGGAACAAACCCTGAATTTGTCTTAATTTCATTTACATTGATTAAATCAAACCAATTAACCTTCATTAACAGGATGACTCCCCATAGACTTAATGATTTTCCCATTCTGTTGCCTTACATTACAATTTGGGGGCAATGTTTGGAAGAACGTGGTGGTCCTCAAATCTTTGCTCAGCCTTGTGGTGGATGTTGATGAACTGGAGAGTTTTGCCCTTAAGTTTCTTGAAGTTAAGACAGAAAAAGGGCCAGTCTTTTGTACAAAGGAAGAAAATGTCTGAGAAATTGTGAGAGAGATTATCGCTGAGGCTTATGCCTTTCTCTGATGGGTCAGGAATGCTGAAATCTCTCTGTTCCTAATGGTATACAGGTAGTCCTCACTTAATGACCACAATAGAGAGTGGAAAATTGTTGTTAAGGGGGGAGTTGTTAAGCGAGTTGTGCCTGACTTTACGACCTATTTTGTAGTGACCATTAAGTGAATCACTGCAATCGTTAAGTGAATCATGCAGTTGTTAAGCGAATCATGTGGTTCCCTATTGATTTTGCTTGCCAGAAGCTGGTTGGGAAGGTCGCAACTGGTGATCACGTGACCCTGGGACACTGCAACCGTCATACGTACGAGCTGGTTGCCAAGTACCCGGATTGCGATCACATGACTGTGGGGGTGTTGCAATGGTTGTAAGTGTGAGGACTGGTTGTAAGTCCTTTTGTTCAGCACTGTTGTAACTTCAAACGGTCACTAAATGAATGGTTGTTAAGTGAGGACTACCTGTATATCTTTTCTTGTAAACTCCAACCAACTGCTTCTTCCCCCCTGTGATTTCAGGGGCCTTTAAACTGTATGACCTGGATAACGATGGGTACATCACAAGAAATGAGATGCTGGACATTGTAGATGCTATTTACCAGATGGTGGTGAGTATATGAGAATTGTCTGTTATTTCTGGAAAGAGACTCAGCTGCAGGAGGTGGCAGATTCTATCCTGCACTTCAGATGACTACGGTGCCGGATGAAATGCTTTTATGCAAAGCCGGACCATTGGCTTCATTGAGCAAACCAGGGTTCCCTGAACCATATCTAAATGGGTTGTGTGGAACAGAGGCTGTTTCATCTTCCCTTTCTTGGCCCAGGGCAACACAGTGGAGCTTCCTGAAGAAGAGAACACGCCGGAGAAGAGGGTGGACCGGATTTTTGCAATGATGGACAAAGTGAGTTTTTTCCCTTACCTTATTTGGCCCCCAGCAGGGGGTAACCAAGTTTACCCCCATTCTGCTTCATTCAGATCCACAGTCCTATGTCCTAAGGCAGCTGTTCATGGGGAAATGAGAGAAGAAAGCCTACCAAATTAAATCAAGTTTAATTTGTAAGGTCTTTGGGATTATGGACAGCTGTTGAAGTCACATCTTTGCTCTTCCTTTGAGGAAGGGGTGGGATGGAGACATGAACCACGCTGTCCTTTTTAGAAAGATATTTGTGGGACGTGATGGTCCTTCTACAACCACTTCTGGTCCTGGGAGTCTGGATTCAGTATCTCACATCTCCTTCCAGAGCAACACTGGGACATTTTCACTAGCTGGCAAAGCTTGGTACCTCACAGCCTTCCATCGGGGGGTTATGAAGGTGCCCAACTTTGCTAAAATTTTGTGTCCTGCTGTGTAGTTTTTGGATTTGATATACATAGAGAACCAGTTTGGTGTAGTGGTTGAGGCAGTGGTCCTCAACCCTAGCAATTTTAAGATATGTGGCTGGGGAATTCTGGGAGTTGAAATCCACCCATCTTAAAGCATACTGGCTAGGGAATTCTGGGAGTTGAAGTCCACCTATCTTAAAGTTGCCAAGGTTGAAAAACACTGGGTTAAAATGCTGGCCTAGAAACCAGGAGATGGTGGGTTCTAGTCCTGCCTTAGGCATGAAAGCCAACTGGGTGACTTTGGGCCAGTCACTCCTCAGATCAACCTACCTCACAGGGTTGTTGTTGTGGGGAAAATAGGAGGCAGAAGTATTACGTATGCTTGCTGCTTTGAGTTGACCAAATGTGTGTGTGTATGTATAAATAAAGTGGAACCTCGGTTTACGAACTTAATTCGTTCCGTGACTCTGGTCGCACCCCGAATTGGTCACAACCCGAA